TGAACTCAGCTTAAGTAACTTAGCATCTCCTGAGAACTATCTTCCAAGGGCAAGCCCCCAATAACCTAAAGATGTTCCAGCAGACCCACCTCTCAGACATCATAATTAGATTGAGTCTGTAAATGTAATTCATTAACCATTAACATAAAACTTCAGAGTTTAACCATCTTCATGAAAGGGGAGCCAAGTCCTGTTTAATCCATAACAACATTCCTTAAACATTTATTTATTTATTTTATGTAGACCAGGGGATTTAGAAAGAGATAAGGTGGAAGAGAGAGTGGAGAGAAGATAGAGGATAGAGGAAAGAGGAGAGAGAGAGTGGAGAGAGAATCATTGTCCAATTGCTGTTTCACTTCTCCAAATGTGCACAATAGCTTGGGCTAGGTCAAGCCAAAGCCTGGAGCCCAGAACTCAATCAGGGTGTCTAACATGGGTTTTAGGGTCTCCACTATTTTAGTACCATCATCACCTGCTAACTCCTGAGATACGCATGTGTAGGAAGTCGAACCGGAAGCAAAGTTGACTTGAATCCAAGCACCTGATATGGGATGCAGATGGCTCCATCAGTGTCTTAAATGCTATGCCAAATACCTGACCCTATGTCCCCATTTAAGGAAAACTAATTTGAAAATATTCTTCATAACATACTATCTACCTACATCCTTATACACACACACAAATTATGTTTGAAGTTGTAATTCTGAAATAGCTAAGAAATTCAACTGTAAATATATGTTGTCAATACTATAGTCAATAACAATGCTATATTTAAATGTTCTATAATAAAACAGACATGCATCTAATCAATGTTTTAAATAGAACATGAAAGCAAAATAGAGTATGAAATGATCTGAGGGATCAAGAGAAAAAAAAAAGAAATAGAGGAATATCAGATGTAAGCTTAAAAAAATCCAATGAGGAGGTAAGGATCAACAACATACCTTCAAATTTTAGCTAGATGAATAATGATATATATGTGGCATGCAGAAGTGATTATGAAAAGGCTACGTATAATATATAAAATAGTTTCCTGTAGCATTTTGAATCACAGTGAAAATGCTAAAAAGCTAAAGGCTTAATTATGTTTCTGCCATTCTCCCTTCATTAAGTTGACCATTATATGCAGCATCTACTCTCCAACAATGTTATGTATACATAGTTTATCAGGAAAAAGCATAATCACCAAGAACCTTACCTTGCCATGGGATTGGGATCTTTACATAACCACATTTGTGTTTATATTGCAAGCTTTTTGCTCTCTTTAATTAAAGAAGCCTTGGTTATTCATAGTTACGACTTTCTCCCAGACTCTCCTTTATTTTCATCCCTAGAATGTGAAAATAGTCTAGCAAAAGAGTAGAGTATCTTTACTTTTCAGAGTAAGCATGTCCTTAATTTGCAACAAACCTTTACGTCATTGATACCAAAAGAGAAATGAAATGAAGTATATAGTACTTTTGAGTATTTATAATTGAAATGTATAGATATGTTTAAATAACTATAATTCAAAAGGAATTTGTAAAATTTCATAATACAGGAATCTAAAATATGCATATTCACAAGACAACATAATTACAGTTCTGTGTATTAAATTATAATATTTTCATGTGGGTTATCTAAATTAAAATTCAAAGATACTTATTGGTCATTCATCTTAAAAGACTTTTACTTAATATTTTAGTTATCTTTCCAGCCACAGGTTGCTTTTTTTGCATGCTTTAAATTTTATTGTTGCTTTGTAATTACTTTAAATATCCTGACAGTGTAACCATATGTGTATATATGTTTGTGTTTGAGTATGTGTCTGTGCGAGACTGTTATAATATTGCTTATATAATAAGGACCCGTCTCTAATAGGCCCATTCTACTTCTCTTAGCTTCAGTCTAAGTAGGTGAAATTTACTTTTTGCCCTCCCTTAGCCTTATAATTGAGCCTAGTCATACCTCTTTTCTCTATACCTTCCAGCCTAATTACTCTAAATACCTTTTTTAATTTGAACAGTCTTTGTAACTGCACACCAATTTGTCTCAGTTAAGGAAAAGTTCTTATGACTCCCAACAGAAAAATTTCTAGTTTGTAAATTCTAATATTGAATCACAAAGTGACAGATAACTAAAGAATATCTGAAATTTAGTATAAACCTAATTGTTTTACAGATCATGAATGTGATGAAACAGTTCAAATAATTTGCGTTTAGTCACCATGAACTTTGGACAGAACACAAGCTAGGATCCTCAAGGTTACAATCTGAGTTCTCAGTGCTTATCTGCATATACATATGCATGTTTGTGCATGTTTGCCAAAATAGCTCTGCTTCTTTGGGTTCTCTCTCTCATGCTCTCTCTCTCTCTTTCTCTAATTCTCTCTCTCATCTATCTCTCCCCTCCTCCTCTCTCTTTCTAAATGAAAAAAAAAAATTATCTGGTTTATCTTTCCATACTTAAAGGTAGTTGTTTTTCTCTTTTATCCTCATTTCATCCCCTCAAGGTTTTGAATAATATAATGACTGCTTTAATTGAGTTCATAGCCCAAAACAGCATGAGCATTGGAGTGAGCTGAAAAATAACATCCATAAACAAGTGGCACCCATTTTGTTTGAATTTTATAAGAATGCACAATATACTCTATATATTTCTACCGTGAATCTATAAGTTTTCTCTGACATGTAGGCATGACTCAGAGCAAATTATACTGTGAATTTCTTTCTGAAGAAGCATTTGGTGTGTGTTTTAGTCAGTCTAAGGACAGGTTATTCAGTTATAATTATAACTGTACAAAGTCTACCTGCCCCCATTTATCATCTTTCATGCCCTGTGGTGATGAGTGGAATTATTATTAAAATCATTGTGGGAATTGAAGCACTCTTAGTACATGTGTGTTTTTGATTATGTGTGTGTGTTAAACAGTGGGAAAAGGCATGGTACTTGTTGTTAGAGAAAATAAAACATTTTCTATTACCAAGATTGCAAGAATTATGGTCCAGGTGAGTAAGAGCGATATTCCTAGAGAACTGTATATTTGGGGAATAAATTGCTAAAGTCTGGAGTAAAAATGCAAAGAAAGATTTTTGTGGGTGCAAAGCAGAAAAACATTGATATTCCCTTCAGAAGCAAAAATGCCATATTTTTATTCTGTTTTCCTTTATAAAGAAGGAATTTGGCTATGTATGTCTACAAAACAAATAAGCTTCCTTGAATAATATCTTATGCATTGTAGAAAGCCAAGTGTCTTGTCTTGATGGAGAAACAAACAAGTGTATTCATTTGATCAGAGTTCCTGAAAACACTGATGAGCAGATCCAATGTTAATTTATAATAGACTCCTGGAAGACTATATAAATCAGTAGGCCTGCGTTCTGATGGAAAACATGTTAAATGTATACTTTGTAATAAACTTTTCCATTGTGAAAAAAGCTTCATCCAATTTAAGAAAATTTAGACATAGCATCAGATGCCCTTTTCCTTATATAAGTAAGTTACTGATAGCTGCAGGTGGGGCGTGCGGTGTGGATGGTATGTGAATAATGACCCCTCTGGATGACTGACTGCTTCAGTTCACTGAAAGTGTTCGTTTCCGGTGTTAAGCAGTCAGTGGAATTTGGGAGGGCAGGCCCCCTTCCTCTTGCTGTCAAAGCCTCAGTGCTTCTGTGAGACAGAAACATCACAGGCGCTGAGAGGACTGCTAAAGGCCATGAAATGCTTCCAGCATATCCCATCTTTCATGGAACAATTGATATATTACACATAATAAATATTGCATAACCTTCAGGATTTTGACAGTGAAAGTTGAATCTGGGTACTTTCACTGTTTTAATATTTTTTTTAACCCTTGACTCTCCAACTTAATAGGGCTTGACAGAATATTTAAATCACGAATAGGAAGGTTTAGCAGGTTTTACAGGAAGGTATGTGCTGGCTGCTAAATACTACGCAGCACTCATAGAAAATTGTAAAAGAATCTGTCGACGAGCCATGATGAGCCTCGCAAGCTTCCACATTTTTTCCCCCAGCTCCCAAGCATTTGTTTTTTCCTCCAAACAAGTTTCTGCAGCAGCGACTCCCTCCCGCAGCTCCCGGAGCCCAGAGAAGCGTGCAGGGACACCAAACGCACGCCCCTTGCAATAGCGAAATGGCAGGGAGAGGGAGCAAAGTTTGGCCAGGGAGGTCGGAAGGATCGCGCATTTTAAAAATAAAACAGGCTGGGCGAAGGCGCCCCCTCTGCCTCTCCTCCCTCGGCGCCCCGCCTAACCCGCCGCCCCCTCCTCCTGCCTAGGAGGGTGCACGGACGCCGCGCTCCCAGCCGGGCGCGAGCGAGCGTTCCGGCTCCGCTGCACCTGCTGCGCGTCAGCCTCCAGGGCCCGGGATGCCCACGCCGATCGTCAGCCTGAATCTGGGCGCCCTGACGGCCGCGACTGGCCCTCGCCCGAGCCCTCAGCTCCCCGCGGGGGGATATGCAAAGCAGTTACGTCAGACGGTGGGGGCGGCGCGGCCCGGGCTGAGTGGCAGCTGCTCCTGCCTGGGGAGGAGGCGCGAGCATCGGCCCGGTTCAGAGACTGAGACTAGCGGGAGGCGAGCGGAGCTGGTGCTGTCCGCCGCGCGGGCGGTGCTGAATCTGGGGCGACCCCGGGGGGCGACGCCCTCCTGCACCCTCTGTGCCCTGGGGGACCCGCTTCGCGCACGCAGGACCCGTCACAACTTGACAAAGGAGTGTGCTGTCGGACGTGGGAAAGAGTCCTCCGTTTGCCAGCTGGGCGCCCATTCAGCCGTGACTTTGGAGATTTCCATAGTTTTAGACCAAACTATTTTGAATTTTTTCCCCAGCTAAGACGGTCTTTCTGGTGGTGGTGTTTTGCTGCTTTCCAAAACTGTGATCTATACATCCACACCGTGTAGGAACCTTCCTGGGGGGATTTTCTTGACTTAAAATAAGGTAAGAAAATGAATATTGTTATAAATGATGACAAGTGGGGAGAGAAATGCAGACTGCCATACAAAAAAAAATTGAAAATAAGTTATGCTTATTTTAACAGTGTGCAAGAGGACTTTTGCTAATCGCTGTAAAAATATCTTAAGAATTACTATTTTCGTTACTATTACTAGAACATCTGTGTAGCTTTGCACTGAATTCTAGAGGGAAGTTGAAAGGGGTGTGCGTGTGTGTGTGTGTGTGTGTGTGTGTGAAGTTAATGTTATCCTGTTATATCTTGCTTTAAAAATATAAATATTTTTAGAGCAACACTTCCAGCATGGTTCAAGGGACAGGAAACAGTCAACCAAAGCCCTCAAATATGTTAACAAATGCTATTAAATGAATCAACCAACAAGTTGTTTTAAACAAATGCAGTCCAGAAAAATTGAATGGACTAATCTCTGATTTATCAGTACACTTCTTGTATCTAAAACAAGAGCTGCAAAGTGTAGAGCTCTCTGAACAATTTTTTTGGAGGGGAGGAGGTAAGGATGGCAACATTTGCACCATGCTGCGTTCATTTAGATGTGTTGTTATGCAGTAGATCCAAATAGAACTTGTGAAACTCAGTCTCTCAGAATTCCACACGCCAAGGTCATGTGCATTTCAAAGTTGAGGGCTATTTGTTCTGCTGCTGACTAGTGAATGTCATCGCCTTCCAGCCCCCTCAGGTTAGAGGTGAGTGCAAATAAGAAGCTCTGATTTAATAATACAGTATTAGCTTGTATTATAGTCGCTACAGCTGTTGGTGATTGAATGGAACTGCGAAGCGTGGGCTGAGAAAATGTCTCGGTATTTCAGCAATGTTTAACCTCTTGTATGCTTAACAGAGAGCTTTTCTCTACTTAAGAGATTTTTTTTTTGAAGCTATGTTCCTTTTGTCAATTGGCAGTGTGTTCTGAATGTGTATGGAGAAAGAATTCAGGGTGGAAAACCAGTGAACAGTACTTCTCATAGTAGCAATTGCACGATAGAAGTTATCTGGTGCTCCCTGTATTTCTTATTACTATTCAGGACTTTATTTGACAGTAATAATGTCTGGTCTGATACACAGAATTGTGATCTTTCATTTATGTCATTGACATTAGATTAAGTATAAATGGTGACTGGAAAAACGTTGGTGGGGGTTTCCTTTACATTTCAGGGAGAGAGTTCAGGTTGCAAGTAGAGTCTTACATTAACAATAATGGGTAAAATATAAAGCTGTTTCATACAGGACAGTTACCATTAAACTGATTAGCAATATGTTTTTTTGCAGCTAAGAGTATGTTGATTTTAGATCTTGTGTATTTTTTAACTATAAGATATCTACTTGCATTAGAGTTACTTGATTGAACTTTTGTTTTAGAGTTTATGATTTAAATTAGTTCCTTTGGGTAGAGATTTTTCATTTGATTTACAACACAGCCCTATGTGAAAGTGATTGCTAAAGAAAACAGACATTGTTGCCAACACTAGGTGTCAAATCTAAATCCTTTTTAGTTGGTCCCATGTTTTACACTAAGCATATGTTCTTTGTAGGAGTCCTGCCAGTCATGTGATCTTCTGTCAAAAATTCATAGATTTTTAAAGACTGAGCAGATAGACAAAAAAGACTACATGTAGCCCTAGGCCAGCAAGTTTATAGCAATCTCCTTCAGGCATACATAAAAATCATTCTTTACCACTATTAATTTTGAAATTTTTAAAAATTAATTATTTTAAGTGTTCATACTGTGGAAGTAGAAAGAGTACTATGATTTTTTTAATTTTAAATTTTATTTTACGTATCTTTAAGTGATAATGTATATCCTAATTTTATAACTTACTTGAAGGGTAGTAACATATAAAACTAATTTAAATTTATTTGAGTATCTCACTGAATTATGTTTACACAAAGTTTTCTAAGATGCATGTCCTTCTTCCAGTATAAACAGTTACACCGAGCTGCCAATATCTGGAATTCTTTTCAGAGAAATTTAGTGTTAATTTCTTGAGGTGGTTAGATACTAAAATGAAAAGATGATACAAGTGATAATGATGCCCAAAGTCAATTTGATGAGACTTCCAATTTAAAATATTAAAAGCATTTTCCTGACTTTTCTACACATTTAGTTTACTTAGTTCTGAAGTAAGGTAAACCTAGGTCCCCATGATAACCCCACATGTAGCGTGTAGGGGACACTATTTGGACCCAGCATGGGTTTCCCACAGTAAACTAATAAAATTGCCAACTTGAAGAAACTCATGAAAGATAATCAGATGTTGTGGCCCACATTAATTCTTTGCCTTACAGCCAAATATTAGAGTTAAAATTTATTTGTGTAAAATGCAATTTTACATACTCAGCACCAATATTGGATATGTTGTTATATCATTAATTCATTTCATTACTATCACTAGCACTGTGTGTTTCATGATGATGTACTTTCACAGAGTGTGTGGGAAATTACTCATGTAACTCCATGATTCATGACATACTCAAGTTGTTTATTAAAATTATTTCTTAAGAGAAAATGATCAGTATTAAATAGAAATGAAGTTGCTAGACAGATTATTTTTCATTACAAAAATTCTTGTATCTGTTTTGTGAGATTTAAATAACTTTGAAACAATTTGACTTTTCTGTTATCAAGTCTACCTATTGCTTTCTTTTTTCTCTATTTATATGGACAGTAGAGAAATACAGCAAGAATTAATAATCCTGCAATATTCTTAAAAGTTTGGAAACATGTTACAAATAAATTTTAAAGTGAAATTTAATATATTATGTGATTAGTAGTGTGTTGAGAATTTACTTTGACTAATTGCTGTTTTATTTTTAATTTTTAAGACTCATTTAACAATGAGACTCAAAGACTTTGAATTATGTCTTACAGTATTTCATGCTTGCCCTAAATTGCAGTACTCACTCACTCTAGTTTTTTGTTGTTGTTGTTACTTAGAACTCAAAAGACCACCCCCCACCAACTAACAAGCTTGAAAAAATAAATACTTCCTGTTGTTTGCATCATTGTAACAGCCAGGTGACCAATTATCCCTTCCAAACAGATTTAATCACCTTCTGCTTCAACACCTCTAGCACCTTTGGGTATAGTCTACTTAAGGTGAGCTGTTTGAGCCCTAGAGGAAATATCCTAATTTTCCAATTAATCTGGTGGTCATGCAGTAAAGAAATTGGTCCCTGCGTGCTTTAAAATCTCCTTGGTATTGAGGAATTAATGTTATCATAATGAATGAGATAGTGGTAAGATAAACTCAGGACTCCAATAAGTCTCAATATGGGTTTTCTGAAAGAGGAAGAATTAAAAATTTGGCACAGTGTGTGTGTATGCATTTTGCTTGATTTTATTCTACAGTAAACATACAGGGGGATAATCTAGAACATGCATGTCCAAGATAAACTGCCTAATACAAAAATATTTACATAATAAACTGTAATATAGTATTTAATTTTTAGTGGCAAATGTCTCTCCTAATTATTGTTATTTTTTATTTAGGCTACTATGCTTGAGCACATATTGGTTTTTTGGCATGAAAATACCATTCAGATACTCTCCTGCTGATTGGCAAGAGAGGGACAATTGGAAACCACAATCTGCCAGGAACAAGAAATAATTATATGCACAAAATGAAGAGCTTATAGTCTATACATTCTGAAAAAATATGAGTTCTGATAAAGGGTTTGGAAATTAATGTCTATAAAAGAGATACATTAGCTTTGCTTCCTGTATACCTCTGGTAATAAGCCATGCAATCTAAGGAACAGAGCCTGGATATCCTTTCATATAAAATAATTTTATTCCTTATGTTCCAATGTCTTCATGCCTACACATGGTAAAATGTGGGAAGAAGAGCAGCTTAACTCTGAACTTTTTTGCTCTAAAACTAAATAATTAATTTAATGTGTCTTAGGGTATCAGATTATGTAAATCTCTAAAGCAAAGTGATTGCTTAGTGAGTTCATTTGCATGTCAATACAGAGAATATATTCTAACTCATAACTGGTTCATAGCATTGCTGACTATTCCAAAGCACAATGCAAAAGATTAAAAAATACTTTTTCATTGAGTTTTGTTCAAATATATTCAGTGTAATTGACAGTAATTGAAAGTTACCGTAGTGATATACTTTCCCTGAAAAAATAGCACCAAGGCACCAATTAAAACATGCACACCTAAACTGCATTCCCCAAAGGTGATGATGAAATGGAGATAATTTGCCTTTTGTAGTTGGACCACTTCCACAAAACACATTAGATAGTGTTTTAATGACCACCAGGCCTTTTAATTTTTTTTTTTTTTAATTCATAAAACCCTAGAAGTTTTTTTCTCACTTGAATAGACTAGTGCCTACATGTCCTCTGGGGTTATGTGCCCCTCTTCCCTAGCAATTGTAATGCCAGTCATACTGTGGACTGCCTGATTTAGGATTAGGTAGGTAGGCCTTCTGTATTTCTAAAGAAAAAGAACATTGCTACTAGTGAAAGCATTTGCTGCTTCCAAAGGAATAAGTACTGACATTTGAATATTGGTCCTTTGAACTTGGATTTACTTGCTCAGAACAGAAATACATCCCATTCAAAGAGTCAATAGGGACCCATATAATCATATATTTTATTCATATTAAGTTGCCTTACCCATTAAGTCATTTATCACCTACATACAGTTGTAAAAGTTGATATTTTCATTTTAAATATGAGAAAAGCAAAAATTCACACCAAACCTCTATATTTCTCTGATGTTAACCCAACTAGCAATATGAAAAAACCAAATTCACCAGCTATCTGTGTCCATTTGGTACTTCCATTCAGGTCACTTATTCAACTGAATGTGTCTTATCCAGAAGGATGCCATTTTTCTATGATATTTTATTTATTAAATATGATTGCCTCTAATTATTTCCCCAAGACTATTCCTTAATTACTAAGTTGTATCAAAATTATCTTAGAGCATATATTCTTGGGTATATACATTTTATAGCATGCATGATACAAAAGTTCTAAAGGAATATTTTCTCTGTCTTTAATGTTACAAAGATGCTACATTGTCTTATCTTAATAAATATAAATTTCCTAGGAACAACTTTTGGATTATAGAGGTTCTTCCCCCCATACCCGCCCTCATACCCCCAAACCGTCCCACCTCCTACTTCCTCTCCCATCTCATTCTCATTGTCTGATGTTATAGTCTATTCAAAATATTAGCAGTAAATTCTGTTTCTACTGCACCTAAAAAATAATATATAGCTCATGTTCCTTCTCATCCCCCTGGAAAGACCTACTGGACATTAAAACAGTAAATTCAATACAAATATTTGGTAACCTTAAGCCCACTTCCAGCAGTCATCACTTGTATACCAATTGCTTCTCACGTTTAAACCATCAGACTAGTTAGATGCTAATATTCTGAATAGGTCTTATGATGAAATATATTATCACAATGAATTACTACTTTGTAGCACAGTATCAAAAATGGTGATTTAATAATTTCAGTGCTTTATTATATTGTTCCTAATTCTCTCTGGGGCAAAGGGAAAGACTGACTACTAGTTCCTGCTATTTGTTTTCATGTGGTGTTTAGGGTGACTGAAAGGGAGAGTAGGTGGCTCTTGTTGGTCACAGTTCCAACACAGCTCCCAGGTGAGGCACAGAGTTGTGTCAGATTCCCCAGTGAATACCCATTATACAGGCAACTAGT